ATCTGTAGCTATGCAACACATCGATGCGATCGAAGCAGGGTTGTCGCTCAGAAAGTTTGGACGACGTGGGTACAGATAGAGGAGACTCGCAACCAGCACCACTCCAAACGTGAGAATCATGGCCGATATGCGGACACTACTCTGTTGGACAAGTAATGCGACCCGTTGAACAATACGGATCCCCTCAACATGAACAGTTTGCCGAAGGTCAAAGGTACGGCTCATCAAAGGGACAAAGGACTGGCTGATGGCTGCGTCAACTTCGGACCATATATCACCTTGGGACAGCATCCCGTACTGATCGTCCACAGTGTTGGAAGCGACTGCCATGCGCAGCAGTGAGCTGCTAAACATTGCTGTATCGAAGCTAGTCTCTGACAGATCTGTCGTGGTATCTGATTGTACATCGACCAAAGCGACCGAGCCATTCGCATATAATGTGATCTCTGCCTCGGCCATCATATAATTGACGCTGCACCCAAACGGACTGAACCCGTCTGAGGACTTGTTGGAACCATGTTGTGCGTTTAATACCACCTGATTCGCATGTACCGCCACCCCAACTAGGTCAAATTGCCCACAGATCTTTGGGTTCTCGTTCCATTGCAGCAGCTTCCAATATTGTACCTGGGGAGTGTCCATCTCATCTTGATCGGACCGCGCGGTACAAGTGTCGAGAGCCCCGGCGACATCTGCCAGTCGAGTACTGCCTTGATCTAACAGAAAAACCTCAGATAGAGGCAGCGCTTCCTGATCCCTCTCCAGACGTGACAGACCCGCCAATAACCCATCGCCGTCGATGTAAGCGCACGATACATCGGCCCAATATACAGATTGGTTCAGCCTCCACATGTCATCCTCGGATCCGCTATTCCAATATGTCTGAACCGGAGGCATCGCATATCGTCTGGATCCAATTACATCGCTTGCCGAATGGACGTTGTCGATGGTGAGGGATTGATTCACTGCATTGTGAAACGTCCAGTATATATGCGTGTCTAGATTGATAAGCATGGGCCAAGTTTTGAGGGTTTGCGGGAGCTGCATAGAGACCACCTCTGCGCTGACCAGGTTACCTAGGACTGCCGGAAGTATCAACTGTAATGCAATACTCAGGATTGACACGCAAAGAGCCACCCAATGCCGGTTGCGGGCGGCCTTAAATGGGGTCGTTGTGAAATGGCCGAATACATAGTTGAGAAGCAGTACATCAGCTGAAGCGCCTTTGGGATTTGATAATAGGAAGTATGGCTCAAGTCGAAGAGCATCGTACTCGGTGAAGGACCACATAGCACCTATTATGACACCCATCACCATCGGCACAAAGGTGTATGCCACTTGTTGCGCCGTAGCTATGTCCTCGGTTGAGCTAAAGATCGCGAGCCCGCCTCTCGCAGCACTACCCAGGTAAATTCCTCCTATCGTGATCAACATTGTTAACATGAGCGCGGCCAGCGAGCCCAAGTAAATGCCGCGAAGCGTGGCAGGACGCCATCCCGGCGCTCGATGCTTGTGTGGCATCCCGATAAGATTCTTCCATTGTCGCATTGGTTTTATTCTGTCTTTGATTAGTCAATTAACGACTCGCATTATGGATGTTGTCGGAGACAGCCGAATGAGTCGCAGCAGAACGCCTTCGATATAGGGAACATCGCCAGCGAAAGTCTATCATGGACCGTAGTGGGACAGTTGCGTTTCCAGAATAGTCTGTGAAACGTTTCCAGTGGTCCCTAAGCGTTGAATTATCTCGCGATCAGAAGGGTAGCAGTGTTGGCCAGTTTCAATGCATTTCCGGGCGGAGTAAAAGGGGCAGAGAAGAAGGATGATACGTATGACATTCAGCTTAGCAGTGAGATTTTCCTGTGGCTTGACGAGAACCCTTTAACTTGACAGGGTCTCGCCTCCATCCAGTGGAACCCAATCGGTAAAGACCATGGCAATGAGTGGGTCTAGACAATCTCGTTGCCTTCGTTCCGTGCTCTCTTCTTGTCATCGGTTCCCATACGAATGTAACACCACTGGATCTCTCGACGCCATAAAGAGGCTCAAAATGGTCGGAGAAAGAGTTTATTGGAGGTGATTTCGTAACCCAACGTGTTCTAGAGCCTCTTCGCTCTTTTGACTCATTTCATGGCCAGAACCGGTGATACTTGTGGCGGCAGTGCTGCTGGCCCCAAACTTTATTGCCAAGTCTAATGGCTTTAGCTTGAAACCGCGCCTCTTTCAGCTGGAACAGGGAACAGAATCCCTTTGAAAAACAACACCTTATCCCCGGTCCCACTAAAGCAGTGCCGTTCCTTTGAGCCTTGGTGCTCGTGCTAACTCCACTCTCGGTGTCACGTGTGCATCGCAACGTTCTGATGAACGATCCATTGGCTCGAGGATTCAAGAACATTGCCATGATACAGCTAAATGGCGGTCCGAGGTGGTAAAACTGCCAGTAGGTAACTTCCAGGAGGGTTTCCACTCCGTGCAGCGCTCAACATACACAGTAACAGTTTAGTCGCAACTAGGGCAAAGACCCCCTCAGATTAGGCAACGGCCGACCATACCCAATTAGGTAAACCCTATAGGGTACAAGGTCTCTAAAATATTACCTCGGTAGCATGGATCGCCTTACTTGATCTTGTTATTTTCCTACCTTCTGGGATGCGTGTCACAAAGAGGATATGAACTGTCTCTGTCCGTTTCGGTTGGCGTGACTGATATTGTATTCGCTGTTTACACCTTCGCGAAGACAAGGAAAGATTGAGGACAGCCTTACCGATGGTGGAGATTAATCAGCTCTCTGAAGAAGGACTGAAAACTTACTACTGGGAGGAATTTCGAATTCTATAAGAACCTTAGGATTGCAACACGGCATGGAACATAATCTTCTGGATTATGTTACAGTTTGCCAAGCCAAGTTCTGCTCTCAGGTCATAAAGACAAGTGTGGACATGTGGATGAACATTGGGCACACCGGAAGATACCAGGTCGATCATATTCTGGATTGTCCACCTTATACCTTGAAGACAGCGGGCGAGGTAGTATTGTTTCCCTTGTCGAATTTGCTACCACAAAGGCAGGTCAGCCATTTATTGGTGGACAAAGTAAAATTATTGAAGGCAGCCTTGTGGTTGAGCCGTGGGTATTGCCCCGGGGGAAATAGTATATGAGGTTCAAGTTGCCAGGAGTGGTACATTGTCAAGTTTGAACCTATAATGCGCGCTAGCTCGGAGGGCAAAGCCACATTAAATCGGAGTCCCGTTATTTTACGCGAAATGTTGGTACTGGAGATCAGATGGGTGCCAAGTAATTGCAATTGCACCCCGCAAGAGAAGTGCAATCTGGTTTCAAGATATTGAGAAATAGTTGGTCCTGGAGGCTAAGCATTTGAGGTATTATTGGTCGATATACCTAAGGGGATCAAGAGCTGGGATCATGAACCCCCCTGCGCAGTCAACATACAATATATCGTCACTTGAGATCCATCCCTGTAGCCTGCTCATGGGATAGGGCAAGCAATAGCTGCTTGGCATAAACTAGCCAATGTTACAGAAAATTGACAGGCTACTCATACAGTATCATCTAATCTCGTACTGTACGAAAAAGTATAGTGAGAATAATAAAGAGTCAGAGACAGACAAGGACTCCAGTCTTCCCATAGCCCAGAAAAACTAATCAATGTTCATTGTCTAGTTAATCCCTAAGGGGTAAAAATGCTTCCATAAGTTCCATTGTGTCTCTTAACTATACATCTTGTTTGTCCTTCCAGACATGGAAATATCAAGTGGTCTTCTCCATGAGGAAGTCATATGGGCTTTTGATAGTTTGAGTGGCCCTACCCTTGGCAATGAAAGAAGGTGAGCTCAAAAAAGATATCCCCACAGTCGGGCAAATTGTGGAGACTCAGAATAGGGCTAGTTTCTCCGAGTGCGTCTCATTGTGTATCAATCAAATGACGATCTTCAAACGACCCTTCTGGACCTAGGAAAGGAAGGATCATCAGCATGTATATGTATGCCTAGAATGAGAATGAGATCCGTCATCTGATTGCTAGGGGTCAACGGTTATAAGATAAGGGATATGAGAATAGTATATATGGGATTGTGGGATAGAAATTAAAATAGCTGCACAATGTATGGATATTTTTCGGTCTTCAAACGCAATGGATGTCAAGCATACTACTTTGCAAGTGTGGAAGACGGAGTTGATGCCCGAAGTGCCTAAAAGGGGAAAGTAGATCAAACAGTGCAAACAGCTCCTCACGTGCCGGGGATTTCGGCAGATGCCCTGAATACGATCATCCGAAGGGACATTTAGTTGCATGTATCCCTATGGATGACATGCAGATGTGGTTTGATAAATATACATACTATCGACGCCACAGTGGTCGGCCCGATCGTTCTTGATCAGACAGCCCCGCTGCATCTGACCATCAGCTCCCCCGCAACAATGCGACAATCGCGTGGTTCTCGTCCTGACGACAAGAAGCTTTCCCTCTTGGAGACACAGTCAGATGGGATGCTGGTAGCCTGGCACACCCCAAGATTTGTTGAGGAGCGTACCAAGATCTTTGATCCACTATTGCTCAGGAACAGGAAGGAAGAAAACCGCTTGGCGGCGCCATGATGTAGTTTGCGCCCCTCCTCAGTTACTACGATGGGAAAAGTTGTTTGCTTGGATCTCCAACTCTCGGGGAAATGGGGGATCCTCGGAGAATTGCGCACAATGTGTCCAACGTGCTCTTTTCATTGAAGAACGGTGTACGGAGCAAACAAGACACAGAGCATAGTTCTACCCCATAGATATGGTGGAATGGGGTGTTTCGCCGACATTATGGACGTTCTCCAGGGGCACTATTCCGCATGCGGCCCATATCTCATTTTATTCCCTCGGCCAACGACCGATAGCAAACAAGATGTAGTATGAATTGAAAATACTACTTAAATGCTAAATCTCCTCACCGACAGGGCTTCTGGAGCTTTGCCATCCATCCACTTCTCTAGCACGTCGCCATGAAGCTCTCCTCAACCGCGGGTGCTCTGGTCACCAGCCAGGCGGCCTACGCTGCCTCCGCTATCGATTATAATGCAGCCCCCCCAAACCTTTCAACTCTGGCCAATGGCTCTCTGTATGATACATGGAGACCTAGAGCTCATATTCTCCCACCAGCCGGCCGAATCGGCGACCCGTGTGCTCATTACACTGATCCCGACACCGGTCTCTTCCACGTTGGCTGGCTGCACAATGGCAGTGGTATCTCAGGTGCCACGACCGATGATCTGGTCAAATACCGTGATCTGAATCCTAATGGAGGCCAAATTATCATACCTGGTGGCAAGAACGACCCTGTAGCGGTCTTTGATGGCTTCGTATTCCCGAAGGGAATTGACGACAAGCCCACCCTTTTCTATACCTCCGTCTCGTCGCTTCCAATACATTGGTCGATCCCCTACCACCCTGGAGCCGAATCCCAATCCTTAGCCGTCACATCCAACGGCGGTCGCAATTTTACCAAACTTGATCGCCCACCGGTCATTCCCCTCCCTCCGTCGGACAGCAATGTGACCGCTTTCCGGGACCCCTTCGCTTTCCAAAGCCCGGAGTTGGACGCTGCCGCGCACAGTGCCCCGGGTACCTGGTACACCACCGTCTCTGGTGGTGTCCACGAACAGGGCCCTGGTCAGTTCCTCTATCGTCAAGACCAAAAGGAAATGAGCCTCGAAAACTGGGAGTATCTGGGCTTGTGGTGGCAGGAGAAGGTCAACAGCACTTGGGGGAACGGCGATTGGGCTGGAGGATGGGGTTTCAACTTCGAGACTGGTAACATCTTCAGCCTGAACGATGAAGGTTACAGCCTTGATGGCGAGATCTTCACAACCTTGGGCACTGAGGGTTCTGGAGCTCCTATTGTGTCCCAGGTGTCGTCCATTCACGATATGCTATGGGCTGCTGGCAACGTCTCTAACAACGGAAATATCACTTTCACACCAACCATGGCTGGTGTCTTAGACTGGGGTGCTTCTGGCTATGCTGCCGCTGGTCAGATTCTGCCTGCAACCTCCCAGGTGTCCACAAAGAGTGGCGCTCCCGATCGTTACATTTCGTTTGTCTGGCTCACTGGTGACCTGTTCGAGCAGGCCAAAGGGTTCCCACTTTCACAGCAAGACTGGGTTGGTACCCTTCTGCTTCCTCGTGAGCTTCACATCAAGACCATTTCCAACGTGGTTGACAATGAGCTTGCGCGGGAAAGCGGATCGTCCTGGCGTGTGGAGCGTGGGGAGTCTGGCATTGAACTGAAGACCCTGGGAATTGAAATTGCTCGGGAGACGCGTGAAGCTCTCATGTCTGGACCGAAGATCACTGAGCCGGAGCGTACATCGAAGGAGGCTGGCCTCGTGCCCTTCCAGGTCTCCCCGACTACCAAGTTCTATGTCCTGACTGCCAAGCTGTCCTTCCCTCGCTCTGCCCGTAACTCTGATCTCCAGGCTGGCTTCCAAGTGTTGTCATCTGACCTCGAAAACACCACTATTTACTATCAGTTCTCCAACGAATCGATCATCGTCGACCGCAGTAACACCAGTGCTGCAGCAAAGACCACTAATGGAATTGTCAGCACCAATGAGTCCGGACGCCTCCGGTTGTTCGATCTGCAGGGTGATACCCAGGAGATGGAGACTCTGGACCTTACGATCGTTGTGGACAACGCCGTCCTTGAGGTCTATGCCAATGGACGCTTTGCCCTGAGTACCTGGGCTCGGTATGTATTCTCTGAGGGCCGGCAACAAGGCATTGGCTAATAGTTTTCGCAGTTCCTGGTACAAGAACTCGACTGACATCAAGTTCTTCCACAACGGTGCGGGTGAAGTGACATTCAGCGATGTCACTGTCTCCGAGGGCCTTTTTGAAGCCTGGCCGGAGCGTGTTTAATGTAAGACAATAATGCGATGAGATGATGTAGGGGAGAAGGGTTGCTTGTATATATGAGCCAATTATCATAGAGGCAAAACCTGCACCTGAGTTAATAATTATACCACCTAGTCAGTTCCTCGTAATTGATCTGGTAGTGCATTTGATAAACCCTTTTTTACCGCATGCCATTGTTAAACCACCAGCGTTCGGATTTGTAGGCTGCCGATAGCCTCGGGAAGCCGAGTACACGCGACCCAGACAAACCTCCTGTCACTTGCCGCCGAAAGCCTGAATATCGTTTGAAAGGGTGCTTAGATACCAATTCTGTACTTCATTAAAGGACCCTTCCTACCCATCACCAGCTTTGGTACCCGACGACAAGCACCATGAAGATAAACTTACTCCGTAGGATCGTCTTGTTCGCCGAAGTATTCAAGTCAAGCCGTGCCGTCCGTCTACAAGCGTCATCTTCCACGACGGTGACTATGACGCGCACGTGAGCTAAAATAAAATCGCTCATAGATAGAACGATTGCCCCATCACCGGGCCGGCTGATCATTACGTTTATCTTGCCCCTGTTCCTCTTGCCTGGATGCCGGCGGAGTTGTATCTTGACCGGAACCGATGGTTGAAAGGTCAAGTTCCGGCGGAACCGAACACACTCAACCCCATGGGCAGACTTCTCCAGGTTTCGACTCCGGATTATGACCTTTATTTTGGACTAGTGCCTGGTAACAACCCACTCAAAGGGTCTCAATTGTGGGGCTACAATGACTGTGTGTTCTTGGGTTACACTTCCTTGGAGAGTGGAGATGGATATCCTGGGGTATGGTACGATTAGTATAAAACCACCGACATGTTCCCACGTGTAAGATAGCTGATTGTGTCCATATTGTTCAATTGCATCATATCATTCATGCACCGAAATGGCTAAGGGTAGATTCAGTCAGCCGTACTTTGGCTTGAAGGGAGGATGGTTGACATTCTGGGTAACCGTTGCTTGTGCAACGGACATGATGCTGTTCGGTTACGATCAGGGTGTTTTCGGTATGTTTCTTCTCTATTCTCTTTCCATTGCATCTAGGGCCTAACTGACGCCTCCTTCTCGGTTGCAGGTGGTGTCATCGTAACAAAAGACTTTCTTGATGTACTGCACCTTCACAACAACGCCAGTCTAGTGGGAACAGTCACGGCCATCTACGATGTCGGCTGTCTGGTCGGCGCCATAGCTGCCATGTATGTCGGAGAAAAATGGGGTCGCAAAAAAACCATCCTATGCGGAACGACAATCATGTCCATCGGCGCTGTTCTACAGACTGCAGCGTATGGTGTCCCTCAGATGATCGTCGGTCGAGTCGTAGCCGGTATTGGGAACGGTATTAACACGGCCACGGCTCCCGTGTGGCAGGGAGAGACTTCACAGATCAAGTGGAGAGGCAAGCTCGTTATCATTGAAATGATCCTCAACGTTGCCGGTTACTCATTATCCAATTGGATGACCTTCGGATTCTCCTTTGTGCCTGGGCCAGCGTCATGGCGGTTCCCACTTGCTTTCCAATTCGTCTTCATTTTTGTCCTTTATGCCACCGTGCCATGGCTGCCAGAGTCCCCTCGTTGGCTGATTGGCCACGACAAAACGGAGAATGCTCAGCAGATCATCGCCGATCTAGAGGACAAAGATGTCCACGATCCCCATGTCATCGCAGCGTATACCGAGATCATCACCGCGGTACAATATGAACGCGAACACGCCATCTCCTGGAGTCAGCTCCTGCGCGGGAAGACCGGAGACCAGGGCGGTACCTGCGTGATTCGCCGTCTTATACTGGGAGCCGGTGCACAAGCCATGCAGCAGCTGGCTGGTATCAACGTCACATCATACTACCTGCCCACGGTCTTGATGGAATCCGTGAAACTATCCGAGATGCTATCACGACTGCTTGCGGCCTGCAATTCCGTCTCATATCTGATCGCCAGCACGCTAGCCATCCCAAAGATCGATGGCTGGGGTCGACGCAAACTCATGATCTGGTGCGCCTTAGGTCAGGGCGTCTGCTACCTGATGATTACCGTCCTGCTCCGATTCAGCGAGAAGCCAGACTATCCACACCAGACGCAAGTGGCTGCAGCCGCGGTTGCCTTCTTCTTCTGCTACTACCTATTCTTCGGGTGCAGTTATCAGGGTATCGGATGGCTTCTGCCAGTCGAACTCAACTCGCTTAGCATGCGGACGAAGGGAGCTGCGCTTGGTACAGCCACAAACTGGGCGATGAATTTTATGGTCGTGGAGATTACCCCCATCGGGATCCAGAATCTGGGATGGAAGTTCTATATCATCTGGACCGTCTTCAACTTTTCTTTTATCCCTGTTGTCTACTTCTTCTATCCTGAGACTGCCAATCGTGCGTTAGAAGATATTGACGTTTTCTTCCGCGAGAATCACAGTATTTTCGTCAATGGGAACCCGGAAGCTATCAGCGTCGCTCGACCGACACGGTATATTGAGATGGAGAACGCTCTCAAAGACCAGAGTACCTCCATCTCAAAGGCGAAGCAGATGCTAAGTCATGATGAAGGACAGATTGAGTATCACGAGACTGTTTAGGTGGTTCCCTCGGGGTGTACCGTTGTATTGTTGCATGCTTCGCCATGTACCTGTGTTTTTAGCCTAGTTACAGAGTTGGTCAACGAATTTATGCAGTTCACGATTGCTTCAAGTCACTTCTTGCGAGTGCTCTAGGAAGTATAAACCTCATTGCTATAACGAACGGTGTTGCCTAGCATGTGATATTCACACACATCCCATGGTCTCTAGAAACGATATCCCCGTTCTGTAGTCTTCTACCATCCTGGGCAGAGTACTGGGGTTATGGTGTAACCCATATACTCAGAAAGCAAGCACAGTTCTTACCCAAGGTCAGCAGTGAAGAACGAGGCGCCTTGAGATGTGCCTATGAACAGACTACCTCACCTTAATCCTAATTTCCCAGCGGCAAGCATACTGTAGTATATACTAAGATGGTAAAAATCACTTCTCACTATTCCATGAATGTTTTGCATGCCTGGTAATTGCCCGTCCCGTCAAAAGTTTCCTAGCTACGATATTGATTATTCTGAACTTGTGGCCATGCCTTCGCCTCACTAAGCGCAATATCATCATATAAAGATAAATCCAATGGAAGGTCTCCAAATGAGTATCTGCAAGAGCCACATAGCGGAAGATTCATAATTAGTGAAACATCAGTTCTGTTATATTTTGTAGTACTGTATGAGTGATATTTCAACTTGGAATTTAGATCTCTTGAGCCGCGATAAGCGTTAAAATTGTAGGGGATGAATGCGCCGGCCCTTTTACGCCACTCTATCACCTTCCTTGGTCGGGGAATGTAATTGGGTTTTATCCGGGCCAATAACCCAGAATACCCTAGTCAAACTGAGCGTTGTATTCAACTCACTCAAGGACAGGGCTTCCAGGTCTACACGCAAAACACAACCCAGGGTATCTTCTGATGCCCGTACGCCCACACGAAAGCTATGGCGGCTAACCCGCCGATAGAGGAATATGTCAACACATTCCTGCGTATATAAGGGCGATCGAGATACTGGATGAAGCAACCCAACGTCGAATCTTACAGCTTCTCCATATTCTCCAAAAAGCGATACCTACTACCCAGGTACAAGGTTTGTACGTTAACGCACTGCAGGAACGGTTTTGCGAGAGCTAGAGTGTTAACTCCCTCAGGGCTCGATTCTATAAGGATAATGCCGGCTGAAATCGTGCCTTGCAAGCATTGCGGGAGTTTGGTCTCGGGCACTCAAGGGAAGTGTCCAGATTGTGGCAGATCGCCCCATTACTAGGTATACCATCATTGTCACTATATAAGCGGTGCATGAATGACAATTCCTCTCTCCGTTAGCGCATCACTCGATATGGCGGGAGGACGGTAGCATCCTCTCTCGAAGGGAAGGGCAACACACCCGCTCAGGGTAGTTAAAGTATCGTTTGCGCAGGGCGTGGAGTTCGAGTTGGCCATTAGCAGAAAAATAAGAGGTGCTATGGACAATGACTGTCCACTGAAGACCACTGTTAGCAACTGGTGAGACCTGAGACCACGTGAGCGACTGGTTCGTGGCGCAAATCTACTGGATCTCAGATGCTGTGTACCACCCAAGATGAACAAACCTTGGCGAGGGGAAGGGTGTCTATCGGTTGAATCTGTTCTGATTCTGCAGCATTGTTGCTGCGGAATATCCTACTTGCTGCGATCACATGTGCGCTCATAGCCCTGGATTCGCTGTGAGGCAACCTTTACATACCATAGCTCCAATGAATCTCTTCAGTATACTTTATTCCTCCTTATGCTTTGGATTATACATAGTTTCTGCGGGAGGCAAAGACAGCCGCTTAGGGCAAATTCCATCCTCCTAGAAATGCAGCCGTTCTTGCTTACCTAGTAGATATGGATGATTTACTGGCAGTCGTATTAGCCGATCAAGGTAGCTCAGTATGATTTAAACTGATAAATTTATTACGAGAATTATCCCGATAGAAGTACCATTCCTGTCAACCGATTATAACAAAATCTTACTTGTTCAGGGTTCGTGAAAGCAAGTTCGCAAAAAGAGACGAAACCAAGCTCGTATTGACTCGGAGGGAATCAAACTGAGAATAAGAAAAAATAAAATTAAAAAATAAAAAAGATTATTCAACATTGATCCAGATTGCAGAATACGAGAAAGGCAGTCGACCCATCGGCCAGCGTCTGGGCCGTGGAGGTTGGAAAGTGTGGGGAATAAATCAACCCAAAAATCGGACAAAAATCGCTCAATCTCCAAACATCATCCGACTCGTGCATAAACCCACCATGACTTCTGATCCCTCTTCAGTTGATGATCTAGGTGATCGTCGGCCAAGACCAGGATCAACCGACAGTCCACGGACAACAAGAAGCAGGAGACATCTATGGTCGTCGTTACCGACTCGGGTGAGCAGCGCCTGCGAACGATGCCGTCTCCATAAATCTCGGGTAAGCCGATTTTCCTGCTCGTTCTCGGCATTGGAGGGCCCTGCTAAAGACGACTGGGGGTGTTATGGCAGTGTGATCCTTTCCGACCGTGTACGCTCTGTGTCAGAGCCAATGTGGATTGCCAGGCTCTGCCGGCGCAACAGAAGGATGCGGTTCGAAGGTAAGTTAGTAGAATACCTTTCTCGGCTTCAGAGGGCTGATATGCGGGTGCAGCCGAGTGGCATCCCGACGTACCCTGAGGAATTCTCGGCGTCAGTCGAAACCCCCACGCATAGGCCCAGCCGAGCAGCCGCCGGATCGTGAGGACAGTCCTCGCCATGAGGTGGAAGCGCCGGACGCTAATGCGCCCGGTGCTGACTTCCTTCCGGCGGATGAGCACAGCGCCCGCTCAGCCATCGACTGCGGCGAGGCGGAGTCGGCCATGGGACTGGCGCGCAAGATCTGTGAACTGGGCAGTCAACACATCGACGAGCGAACGACATTTGCTATCCCAGGGTACCGAGCAAGTACCAGTGCGCCCGTCGCGCAGTCGGCCGTTGCGGGCCAACGGCTGCCCATCTCCTCGATCTTGGGCCAGCCGTTACCCATTGGGGAGTTGATGTATGAGTTGTTGGAGGAGTATTTCGATGCCATCCATTGGTTCTCCCTGGTGGTGTATGAACCGAAATTTCGCAGACGACTGCGTTCGATCGAAGATGGCTCGGCCTATCCATCCCAGAGGCCGTTTCTCTTGCTGCTGGCCGTCATGCTCGGAATGGCGGCCTGGTACCGATCACAACGGAATCGCGACGCCGAAGATACGAGGGAACATTGGCGACAATGGAGTTCCAATCTCATAAAGATCGTTGAAGCGAACCTGGTTGAACTGATGGACCAGCCTTCAGTGACAGCCGTGCAGACCTGCATCCTCCTGGGCTCGCATCATGTCTACCATGGCCGACCGAACCTCTCCTTCGCGCTCTTAGGCGCGACGATCAAAATGTCTCAAGCGCTGGGCATGCACCGCGAACCTGTCCAGGGCGAATTCGGAGACATCGAAGAAAGAAAGCGAGTGTGGTGGACGATCTACACATGGGACCGGTTTGCGTCCATCACCTACGGTCGGCCGTTGGGAATCAACGACAAGGACTGCAATCTCAGCATGCCGGCTGACATGTTAGAGAACCCATCCTTTACCACACCGGGATCCGGCGACGATAACCTGATATGTTATTCCGCGTACCAGCGCGAGTTAAACCGTCTCTACCTGATCGCATCCCCGGCGCTAGAAGCGGTATTCGGTTCGCGTACCTTTCGTACATCGCAACAGCTGACCGGAAATCCATATGCTTCTCTGGTCAAGCATGCCACTCAGGAGCTGCAAAGATGGCGAGCCTGCCTCCCAGCTCATCTCGCATTAGATCTCGAGCGAGACTATCATCCAGACGGCGAGCCCGGGTCGAGGGCGCACGCATTACAGTCCCTGTCACTCCAACTCACATATGACAACGTCCTCATCGTTCTCCATCGGCCACTGCTGGCACGACAAGTTGACCATCTCACCTCAACCACACGACCACCGCACGGTAGCAGCGACAGCGGTTCACCTGCATCCCATCCGGCCGCTGCATCCTCCGGCCACTCTACTCCAGGCCTCTCGTTCGAAGCACCATTCCCGACTGCACAAGCAGCCAGTTCAGACCTCTGGATGAACGCAGCGGTGCGAACCGCCCGTGTGACCGAAATGCCGGTGCTCGCCCAGCTCGCAACGGACAGCCACCTCGTCGCCTTCCTCGCCATCAACCTCTTCAACGCTGCCATCGTGCTGGTCGTGATGGCGCTCTCCGAACCCCTGTCCGATACAGCGCAGGTCGTCAAACGGACCATCACACGGATCCTGCGTCTCCAGGACCTCATCGGGACCCGATCAGCCCTGTCAAAGCAAAGTACCACGGTGCTAAAGAACGTGGTTACTATGCTCCTCCGGCGCGAGTCGGAGGTCATATTCGGGCCCATCACCGGGTTCCCCCAGAGACTTGGGCATCATGTCACGCAGGACCCGACCAGTCTCGGCCGCATGTCCGTTGAGGATACCCTGCGACTACCCCTTGATGGGACGATAGGTCTATCTGATCCAATAGTGGGCAATCATATCCGACCTGATCCAAGCCGGGCGGTTCGGCTGAACGAGAGCTTGACCACTGTTCATCATGGTAATTATCTTCTTTCGTGATTGCATAGTCCGATGCTAATGTTAAACCTTGGATAGTTCTACCACCTGGGAACGACCGCTCCGTCAATATTCTCTCCGGTGAAAGCCATCAGACCCATCAGCCGCCCGATGAAAACACCGAATCGCAGTTCGCCCTTCAGGTCCCGATGGACTATGGCTGGGACGGTGCTGGCGCTGTCCCCATGGGGGTGGAAGACCCTTATCTAGGGAATGGCGAAAGCGGCATGTATTGGTTATGGGATATGACATGGGACGGGATGGGCGTTTAAGGCATGAGCAGTTCTTTTGATTGATTTATTTACTTTTTACTGTACAGTTCTAAAGATCTATATCCACTGTATATCCCTCAAACCAACACACGACTATACTGAGGCCTGTTTGGCAACCTCGGGGTCGACGTCCGGCCCGTAAATCACACTCTTGATACCCCCCTTGCCAGCAACATGCTGGAACGCTTCCTCGACCTGCGAGAAAGAGAATTCATGGGTGACCAGCCCATCGACCCGGACCCGCCGCGAGTTCAGCAAGCCAACGGCCAGTTTGAAATCGCCGGGACCGTACCGGAAACTCCCCTTGAACGCAGCCTCCTTGTCACAGATTTGCCCAACGGGTAAGGACAGATTCGGTCTACCAAGTCCGACTTGCACAAAGGTTCCACCATGCGCCAGCGCATGAATACCACAGTTGATACAGGGCTCAGCCCCCGAAGCATCAAGGACAACATTGGCACCATCGCTTAGCCCAGCTGTGGCTGCTAGGGCATCGGCGTTTAACTCGGGGGACTTCTCCGCGCTCATCTGGTAGGTGTGTGTGGCGCCGTACTGCCGTGCCGACTGGAGTCGAGCAGCCACGATGTCCACGGCAACGACCGTCGACGCACCGAACGCGCTCGCAACGGCGCAACAAAGCAGTCCAACCGGCCCGGCGCCGAACACAATGACCGACTTATCCTGTAGATCGCCTGCTAGTCGACATCCGTGCACCGCGACCCCGAGCGGTTCGACCAGCGCGCCGTCGCGCAGCGAGATGTGTGCCGGCAACTTGTAGCAGCATTCAACCGGTACGCGGTAGTATGTAGACAGCGTTCCGTCATAGGGAGGGGTTGCGGCAAAACGCATGTCCTTACACAGGTTATACCGACCACTGCGACATGGGCTGCAAGTGTTGCAAGCGATTCCGGGCTCGATCGCGACGCGGTCGCCAACTTCAATGCCGGATGCTTTGGCGCCGCGGGAGACCACTATGCCGGAGGACTCGTGGCCGAGAATTATGGGGCTCTCAACAACATAGCGGCCGATGCGACCGTGTTGCCAGTAGTGGACCTGTTCCTCGGTCAGTTATTGTTGGGGTTGAGGGTGGCTGGATGTATGCGCTGCTTACATCGGAGCCACAGAGACCGGTGGCGACCACTCGCACTATCACATCTCGATCAGATTCTAAGGAAGGGATCTCTCTATCTTCATAGTAAAATGAACCGCCAGGGCGAAGTACGGATGCTTTGTTGACTGTCTGTGAGAGTGGTCAGCGGATGGAAGACGATCAAGATTGATCATCAACATACGGGATCTGTAGACATCTTGCTCCTTAACCTCCAAGCACTGTCTTCGGAAATGAATTTGTGAGGATGAGAAATCAAGGATTGAATTGCGTGGTTTTCTCTCGCTGAAGGAGCTGGTTGAAATAAGTAGGATGTACTTCGGCTTGATCACGGTTCCGGCGGAACATCCACCTTGGCCTTCAATCATTTCGGTTCCGGTCTCAAAGCTCCAGCTTGGTACCTGCGGGGTTGTGGGGAAATGGAGAACGTAACATAGTGTGCGCTTTATTTTTGAGCTTCAATTCCTCCCGCGGATCCTTTACTTGGTTGGTGTATGCCTACCTTCTTTTCACTGTGCATAGAATGGGACCTTCTCGGCCCGATGAGGCAAAGCGACCTGTTCAAGCTCAGACTCGGATTGCCGACTATTCGTCTCGGCAGTACTAACTCTAGCTCTTTTATTTGAACGAGCGAGTTGATGTTCCTCGATGTTGCTTGTCGACGTCGCGTCGGACAGCATCATACTGGCCAATGTTCTCAAAGACGCGGCGAAGTACCATCAAACCATGACGTTAGGCCATTTCATTCTATTATAGTGTTTATCATACAACTTTTGATATAGGGACAGCCCATCTAAGCCTTGGTGTAACGCAGGTAAGGCTTCAGCTCACGGACCTCACCGAACTTCTTCCTCGCATCCTCGGTCGACACGGAGGGGGGCACGATCACGTCCTCTCCGACCGTCCAGTCGATGGGGGTCGCGATGCCCTTCTTATCTGCAGTCTGCAGAGCGTCAATGACACGCAGCACCTCGGCGGAGTTTCTGCCAGTCGAGGCCGGGTAGAGCATAGTCAGACGGATCTTCTTAGCGGGGTCGATGATGAAAACGGCGCGGATGGTGAAGGGAATGCCCTTCTCGGCAATGTTGTCAAGGTCCCGCTGGTCGATCATGTCATAGAGGAAAGCGACTTTACGGTCGGGATCGGCGATGATGGGGAATTGCACGGTGGTGTTGCCGACCTCGTTGATGTCTTTCACCCATTCGCCGTGGGAGTCAAGCTTGTCGGCACTCTGTAGGCAAAAGGTCGCATTGGTCAGTCCGATGACCTTTAGCATCGCGTAGTATACACGTCTAGCTCACCAGTCCAATCATCTTGACACCGCGCTGGTCAAATTCACCCTTCAACCTGGCAAAGCGCCCAGCTCGGTGGTGCAGACGGGGGTGAAGTCGGCGGGGTGGGAGAAGAGGATAGCCCAGTTGTCGCCGATGAACTCGTGGAAATCGATCTCGCCATGGGTGGTCTGGGCCTTGAAGTTCGGAGCTATGCCCGTGGTCAACTATGAAACTTCATTGAATCACGCCCATCCATACCGGTGGAACCGAGACGCAGTCGGGGCTGCTCTTGGGGAATGTTGGAGACGAAACGGCGAGCGATAGGCTGCGCCAGAGGCTGTACGCGGGGAAGCTTGGACGCGAGGGAGACCCTGGGGAGGGCAGCCGCCCGGGGAAGGGCCGTCAATGCTCGGAATCCGGCACGAGGAAGGATGGAAGCCATTGTGACAGGCGGAATTTGGAGTCGAGAGGGTCAATTGAGGTTGAAGTTGAAAAGACTGTCTTGAACTGGTTGGTATGGAAGCGAATGGCCGATTGCGTGATTGCGTCAGTGCAGATCCCCAGACTATCCCCTTTTCGGTCGGACTTGGCAGGTGGTTGTTTGCCTCAGGCACTGACGATAATGCTTAGTGGTGCCTCTGTATAGAAATGGGTTGTAGGAATCTGTGAGATACCGACTATAACAAACTATAACAGTACCTTACAGTGACTGATCTTGGTCTAGGAGTGTTGCTCTGCCGTTAAGGAGCAACAAGAGACGGGGACTACTAGGATTTGTTTTGTGCCAAATGTGGAGAAGTATATATATATCAACCTGTGATACCTTCTCATGATAACAACAGATGGAGGACACTTCCATTTTTTCTTCTGGTGAATATCCTCAATTTGCCTTTAGAGTAGATTAAACTTAATCTTGATTGCCACTCACGTCGACTTCCCACGGCTACTGCCTGAGTTTAGATATCAGAATCAGGGATCGCTAGGGCATGACGTCACGGTAATATATGGTAAGGCAGCCAAGTACAGCCATCAAACAAACAAAGAGTCAAAGACCGTTCTGTGGGTCCTTTGATTGCTGATCGGGCGACCCTCCGCGTGTTGAAGCACCGTTTGGGCCTGACATTTCACGTGGCTCCGCGTCGGTCTGGCCAGATTCAGTCCTGTACGATTCTAAATAGTGGAGTAAATTGACTACCAAGTAAAAAACCAGTCGGACACCGGAACTGGTCAGATCAACACTGCAACTTCCAAGGGAGCACTCCGAATCCCCCCTCCTGATACACCAACTTACACTCAAAGAAAAGAAAAAAAGTGACACAAAAGTCATGTGAGATTAGGCAGCCAAAGGCACCAAAATCTCAGCCTCAGACATGACTCAGGCTGGCCTGAGATGTCGCATGAGGCTGGACTTGTATAAATACGACTTCATTGTCATCATTCTCCTTGTCACGTTCTTGTACCCGCTTCTTTCTCTGTTACTACACGCCGTGGGTGGCCGTGGGAAATTCTCCCTCCCCCTCAACTCCCCCAACATGGAGCCTTCTTCGTCGTTCGGGAGATTCTTCTATTTCTCATATTTTGCCGTCGGATCATATCTGGCGAAAAGTCTTCTGGACCAGGTAGGCAGCTTGCCGCTACATCTCTTGTATTCCACCGTCGAGGTACAATCACACGACGATGCCTACAACTATCTCCTATTTTGGTTAACGAAGCAACGGTTCAATGAAAACAAAAATCGCCTCATCGCAAGCACCTCCTTGAGTAGCGGCCTGGATTACTTCAGCGAGGACTCCGACGATGGGGAGTTTGACGACATGCTGGACGCGGAAGCCTCCACCGACACCGAGTGGAAGGCCTCATTGTCGAATACGCGTCAGCTGCTGTGGTCGCCCTCCGAAGGCATCCACTATTTCAAGTATGGCGGTCGATGCCTGGCACTCACCCGGCAGATCGAGGAACGCGGGCAAATGCTCTACACGCGCACCGACAAACTCCGCATCTCGTGTCTCGGGTGGGATGCGTCCATTTTGAAGCAGTTGCTATTGGAAGCTCGCGTGGAATACTCACAGAAGGAAAAGGGCAAGACGGTGATTTATCGTGGGGCTAAGAGAGCGTACGACAACGACTTCTACTGGGCCCGTTCGACCGCGCGTCCCGCCAGACCGCTGTCCACCGTCATCCTGGACCACGAAGAGAAGACCGCCTTTATCCGAGACGTTCAGCAGTATCTCCACCCCAGCACGATGCGATGGTACAGCGATCGAGGCATCCCCTACCGTCGAGGCTACTTATTTTACGGTCCCCCCGGCACGGGCAAGTCCAGTCTCGCCTTCGCAGCGGCAGGGTTCCTAGGATTGAATGTGTATATCCTGGACCTGAATGCAACGCAGCTTACCGAAGATGCGTTGGCACAGCTCTTCCAAGCGTTGCCCCGCCGGTGTCTAGTGCTCCTGGAAGACATTGACACGAACGAAGTGACCAGTCGTCGCAGCGATGAATCCAAAAAGAAGCGGAAAGGGAACAACAAGATCTCGCTCTCGGCCTTGCTCAATACGATCGATGGTGTAGCAGCGCAGGAAGGCCGTGTGCTCGTCATGACCACCAACCACCAAGAGAATCTGGATCCCGCCCTTATTCGGCCGGGTCGGGTGGATTACCAGATCGAGTTCAAGCTGGCCAATCGCAATTTGATGATGCAGATGTTTCAGAACCTATTCCGAGACGTACTGCCGAGCATTGACTCACACCTGGAGGACAGCGTGACTGACGCGTTGCTGCTAACTGCGACAGCGGAAAAGGTCCCTCTGCTCCCAGCTGCTGACCACGCCCCGATCCGTCCTGAAAGTCCGGAAGTGGACATGGAGCAGTTGGCGGCCACCTTTGCCGACAAGATTCCCGAACTCACGTTCTCGCCGGCGGAGATCCAAGGCTATCTGCTGTGCCACAAAAGCTCCCCATTAGATGCCATCACACATGTAGAATCGTGGGGGGAGAAGACGCTGGAAGAGAAGAAAAAGAAGGATGCCGAAAGAGAGTTGCAGGAGAACGAGAAGGCCAAGAAGGATAAGAAGGGGAAGAAAGCGAAGAAGGGCAAAAAAGAAACGGCGAGCAAGGATGAGACCGACGAAGAGAAGGATTCATCCTCTAGTGCGGAGAGTGAGTCGGACGAAGAATCATCGAATGAGGAGAACAAACAGTCCAATGGAACATACTAAGAATGAAGACTGTTTGATGGCACAAGGAGCAATACTGGCAAATGCTAAGAGTAGACCAATACAGTAGAGCAAGTCAGCTGGGAGCCGCCAAAATTCCATTCCGTTTCATGCTCCTTCAAATCAGTCTTGTGTATCAATCTGCACCTTGGTGCTCGTGCTTATCGAGCACCATTCTTCTCGAGAGACGCTATGTGCATCTACGAAAGGCGCTTGTTAGGGACCCGATATACTTGGACTAGCTTCGACGTGACATGTCATTACCAAGGCCTTACCGCACGGACAGCTTACGCAAAGATCGCTGCCAAGGGGACGGTGATATGAGTTGGCGGTGCTCACAGCCATGTTGATCAGGCTCGTCAGCCAAGGTTCTCATTTCCAAACAGAAAACACGAGCGATGTGTTCGGCCACGTCGGGTTAGTGTTGCTGCCTCAGGTATGTAAGGCCACCCGCCCAGAGAGACACCCGTCTGCTTCGGACCCAATCGGGAGGCCTCGTTGCCTCGATCTACATCTGGTCGTCGGGCACAGCCCTACTTACCAGTGATACAGACAGTCCGACAATACAATTAAACTCATTTACCAACAAGGCAATGCGGGGAGTTTGCATACGTCATGTGGATATGAGACTCATTGGTCCCAGATTATAAGTATTGGGCTGGAGACTATTATCAGATGTGCATCCACAACTGTCGTCTTGATCGGGACGAAACCAACATATTAGAGATCAACATGCGCCTACTATATTATGCTCTTTCCCTCGCTCCTCTCTGGACGCCCGGCGTACCGGCCCAATATTTGGGTCCAACCTACCCACCCCCACGAGACCTCACCAGTGATTCCAGCCGCGTTGCCGCCAGCTGGAAGAAGCTAGACTCAACCCTGAAAGCGAGTCTGAGTCGTCGCAATGCGAGTGAGAACAGTGAGATATCCCAACTGAGAGATCTAACCTTCTCTGTTGGCATGTTCTCGACCCTTGACCCGGCCGCGCAGCAGCTTCAGATTCACCATACTAGCGCCGAAGTGGCTAATTCCTCAGTGGGAATAAAGAAAGTAGATGGAGATAGCATCTATCGAATGGCCAGTGTCTCGAAGCTTATTACCGTCTTTGCGGGTCTGCTAGAGCTTGATAGCGTTGACTGGGAACGGCCACTCACCGACGTCTTCCCAGAGATGGCGGATTTTGTCCGCGAGAAATCCAGCGGCCTTCAACCCGTGTATGACACTCAGTGGGATAAGATCACCCTCAACGCAATCGCGTCACAGATGGGAGGTATCCCTCGTGGGGGAAATTCGGAGTTACTAGCCAGCTACGTTACCGCCAGAGCGTTGAACAGCACTGATCCGTCCGAAACGGATCCCACCTTTTTGGGTCTTCCCCCTCTGAACGAAAGCGACCCATCCCTCTGGCAAGCTTGCTGGGGGAGTAACCGACCTTTCTGTGCTGAGGTCCCCTACGCAGAAGCGGAGGCAGATAATTCTCCCGTCTTCCTCCCCTGGAGTAGCCCACAGTACGCCAACAATGGATATATGTTTCTAGGCATGGCAATCGCAAACCTTACCGGGAAGCCCCTCGAGCAAGTTTACCAGGACAGCGTCTTCGAGCCTCTGGGGATGACCTCTTCTCTCAGTGACCCCCCGGCTGAGAACGACCCGAACCGTGCGCGCTCGGTCATTGCAGGACCTATCGAAGGATTTGCGATCGATGCCGGCGTTACCAAAGGCTCCGGTGGGTTGCTATCGACCACCAACGATCTCGCCAAGCTCGGCGTGGCCATCCTAAATTCCACTCTCCTTCCCGCGGACCAGACGCGCAAATGGATCAAGCCTGCCAGCCATAGCGCAGACCTGCGATACTCGGTAGGGAAACCCTGGGAGATCTACCGCTACGTCCACCCGGCCTCAGGAATTGTTACGGATATTTATACGAAGATGGGCGACTCAGGCAACTACGGGGGCCTTCTGGTAGTCTTGCCGGACTTTGACGCGGGATTCAGCGTCCTCGACGCGAGTTCCCTTCCTACCCGGTCCGCATCGGCTGCATACCTGATGGACTTGGTCATTAACGCCCTTGTCCCCGCCTTGATCGAACAAGCCGCTCTGGAAGCCCAGCGCAACTATATAGGAACGTACCGTTCCTCCAATGCCGGGCTAAACTCGTCCTTGACTCTGGCATTGAGTCCGCCGACGCGCGCCTCACCCGGTCTGATAGTCTCCTCTTGGATCAGCAACGGCACAGACATCACACCATACCTGGCAGCAATCCTTGGTGGTAAAGACACGAGACTGGTGTCTACCATTCCCGCCTCTGGAAAGGTGGCATTCCGCCCTTACACCCCGACGGTGGAAAAGGCGGTTGGCTCGCCACAGAGACTCGTATCGCGACTTTACGATGTCAACGATCTGTATCTGCTCGATGGAAGCACCTATGGTGGCCAGAGTCTGTCACTGCTTGTGTTTGACGTCGACGAAAATGGACGGGCTACAGCGGTGACTCCTCCAGCGTTCCGCATCAAGTTGGAAAGACAGTGAGGCGGTGCATACTCTACAGTCCATTTGTATATATATCGAAGCAAGAGCAGGGTCTGCCACGCGAAAAGATGGCCTCGGCTTCTAATTAAGGGGGAATTTTATGTGGTTCATATTCCTTCCTTTTTCACATATATAGAATGTCTCTAGTTTTGTTTAATGCATTAATTACCACCTAGCAATTTAATCTTGTTAGAGTATCTATTTTCACTATACATTCACTAGAGACCATATCGGACATATACAAAAGATATTGCACATGGCGAGTCCCTTTCCCTACTACATCCAGCCTTTACCCGGCATATATAATCCCGCATAGCAAACATAGTTCCCAGTCGACTCCATCACGACTTCTCCCCAACCTCACCGGCCATCTCTACATCTTCCACACCATCCCTATAACAAAACAAACACGAACAACATTAGCCAAAACCCACTCAAATTCATCTGAGCATACGAGTAGTTTACTGTCTCCTTTATGGTCAGCCCTGACTTTATATGTGGAGGACTGAAGTGAACACACGGAAGAAACAGTTAAATGACAGCTCTGGCTAGCAACTAAGGACACTTTTCTACGTCTTAATAGCTATTTATACGTGCTGGCTGTATGCCTAACATTGGCTATAATACCGTTGTCATCAATGTAGTCCAACCCAGCCGTGCGGAATGAGGCGTAGCATAAGACTGGGATAGGTCAACCCCGGACCCCAGATCAGCCAGTCTAATCCGTTTAGACTTATTATTATGTACTAACTATGGCTGCTATGGTATTGAATATTGGAAACACTATGAAGTGTTCACTTTCATCCAGAGTTCTAATGAACAGCGAGGACAAGGCATACGAGGGGAACAAGGCGTACTTCGCCCCAGGGTGAATTGATTCAAAAGCGAAAACAACATTACATGCGCTCGTGGCGCAGGTAAAGAAGGGGAAAAACAAAAAATCGAGCAGGAGACAGCCTTATTGGCAGATGGCGCGACAGTGGCTATCGGGCGTTTGTTGGATGTCGAATCAAAGCTGAACGGAGCCGTAGGTAATGGCAAAGCCCCAAAATACGAGGGGACGGACGAGGTGGTCGAATGACAATATCGAATTTGTATTAGTACGGATAGCCTCGCATTAGTGTCATGTAGACATATTGAAACACATCATATTACGATGAAAACCCATCTCCTACCCTCTGTTCTAACTCTCTTCTCGCCATCTAACTTTCTGTCAACCTGCCCCTTAAACAGAAAGTGTGAATATGTTCCGGAAACTGGCTGATTGTCTTGGCTGTGGAAAGGATCACAGCGACCGTGGGGATGATAATAATGGGCCACCTTCCCAACCCGTCAATGCGAACGGAGGATTAATGGAGGAGAAGGGGGAGGCCAGCAAGGCAGGACTTCCAGCTCGTGTTCAAAGAAAGAGGTCGTCACTCAGTGCTCCTTCTCTTCCTGACCCTGCATCGACGTCTCAGCTGTCGCTGCGAGATGTAGAGAGCGAGCCGAAACCCCAGAATCTTTGGGTTCTGGCATACAAGAGGCTGAGTCTAGAGGATCAGAAATGCTTTGAAGTTGGGGGCCAAAATACGATGGAAAAGACAATCGAGAAGGTGCTAGACAACATAGAAGAAAGATGCAGGGAGTACAATGAGGGTGGACTCCAGATTCGAGGGCTGCATGGGAAGAGCATCAATGTCCAGGAATGTTTCCGAGGGATCATCAAATCTGTATCTCAGGTGCAAGAACTTATTAAGAATGTGGCGTCGTTGGACCCAACGGGCATGGTGCGCTGCCCTATGATCGCCATGGATCGAAATAGGCTGACCGATATCTAGCATCGCAGGCATGGACCATTGTGTCAGTGGGACTTACTGTAAGGAGCAATCTTTTCCTGCTTAGAACGAGTGAGCTAAAAGAACATAGTTGGTAAACAACGACATTGAACGCCGCGATGCGGTCATGGAAGCATCTGGCTTTCTCGCAAATACTCTCTCTTATTACGCCATTATTGAGAAAAATGACCGGAATCGCCAGGTCGACAGCGCTGAGCATATCGAAGAGGCACTGGTGAAGGTTTATACGGCGATTCTTGAATACACGGCTGAAGTTTATAGGGCGAGTCGGGAAAACGGAGCAGGTATGTCCCCGTGGCCAACAATCCTATCCTAGTCTAAACATAAGATTGCAGATCGTGCGCGGAAAAGCGTTAGTGCCCTGGTCGACCAACCTTTACAACGTCTGAAAGATGCCATTGAGCTGGAAAGGAAAAACGTCAAGGAATGGACGGAGCTTGGTAGGAATGAGGGTAAGATTTCATTTCTCACTAGGAGGAGACTTCTCTCACCAGTTCTAGATCAGCAGAAACTAAATACACGGGTTTTGAGTACGCCTGTTATTTTTATTAACCGCTGAACTGAGTGCTAAAAAACCTCACAGGCTCACTGGATCTGGAGATTTTGGATTGGCTGTCACCGACAGATCAGTCG